TGAGTAAGTCAAAATGCTAATAATAGCCCCACATTCTATTACACTGCAGCTCCAATTAACACAAAATTCTTCCTCATTCTGAGTCAAATCTGCTTCCTTGTCAGACATGTACCTGAGAATGCCATTCTAAGAGTTTCTAACAAAGGAATGTCAAAAGTAAACAGAGTTTCCAGTGAGGTGTATTCAAGACGTCACAATGTCCTATTTATTTACGTGAGCTAAAATCATATTTGTACTGTTTAAAATAAACCACCTTGAGTTACTTACATGAATGTTTGCTGTAATACTACCCCAGAGCCTAATATATTACCTCATAAATATTAAATACTCAAGAAATGCTTACTGTTTGAAAGAATGGGCCACTAGTCAAGGATTCTTATACTAATTTCTAGTCTGACAAAGTAAACCCAACGCACTGTCATCAAGTCGATTCCAACGCATAGACACCCTACAAGACAGGGCAGACCTGTCCGTTTGGTTCTCTGAGACTTTAAATTTTTCAGAAAGCCAAAAGTTTCATCTTTCTCCTAAGAATCGACTAGCAGATTTGAACTGTTCAACTTGTGGTTAGCAGCTCAATGTTTAACCCACTACGTCATCAGTGCTCCTTTACGTAAAGTAAACATAATATAATCCTCAACAACAAAAAAATCTGCATGACTACCCAAAGACAGGCAGTATTCCTTTTACATACTCATTGCATGACCACTTTGCTGGGCTGTGAGAAGCCCAGGAAATACAGGGACAAATAAGACCGCCTCAGAGGAGCAGGAGAGAAAATTATACCGCGCTAAAATTCATACTTTTATTATATTTCACATAGTAAAAATAAGTTTTAAAAATTGCCTAAGATATTAAAAAAAGTTAGTAACTATAGGAGTAAACTCACATAAGTTAGTAAGAAGAAAAAATTTCTCTCAGTAAAGGGAGAAATTATATAAGCTTACAATTTTCACAAATAACAATATTAATTGGTAAATGGAAAAAATGCTTATCCCTAGTAACTAAATAAAAAAATTTACAAAGAAAAACTGGGACATATTTTCTACCCAATTAGTTAAAATAAAATAAAATAACGCCTTATTTGGGAGAGGAGTATGGTAAAAAGCTGGTTATATAGGCATTGCTGGTGGCAGTATAAATTAGAATAACTCTTTAAAGTGGCAAACTGTTCATACTCTATGAGAAAACCCCTTCATTGGAATTACTAATTTTTTAAATTCAAATATGGGTGTCAAGAGGGGAAGGGGAGCTGAGACCAGGGTCTCAACAGAAAGTAAGTGTCTAGAAAAGACGGACGGCAGCAATGTACAAACATGCCTGATGCAATTGATGTGTGGATTGTGACAAAAGTTATAAGAGCCCCCAATAAAATGACCTTTTAATAGAAAAAAGTTTAGATATGTCCCCAAATACTTAACTGAATTAAAGCCTATGATAGTTGGGTGGGGAGAAATTATAATACCAAAGGCTAATTGAATATTATGCATCATGTAGCCATTAAAAAAATCTAATCACAAAGTCAGTCTAACAAATGAATGTTTCTTCAGCTATTTGGTATGGTTCCTAAAGAAATATTAGTACATATATACAAATATAAAGACTAGAAAGGCACCAATAAAATGAAAATTTTAATGACTTCAGATTTGAAGTCATAGATTATTTTATTACTAAATTATTTCCTTTTATTTCTAATTTGCACAATTAACACAAATGGAAAAAAAACGCTCAAGGAAGGCCCAAGTGAATTACATTGCAATGAATCATATGATCATAGTAAACTAAGGTCTGAAATACTGTTCCTTGGATTATATATTCACCAGGTGTGGAAGAAGGTAATGAATCATATTTTGCAGCCTCAAGTAGGGGTGGCACAAAACCGCTATGAAAAGAAAACTGAAGAAAAGTTAACTGAGATGAATATCTGGAAAGACTCCCTAACAGTAAAAATCATCAGACTGTAGCATGGCATCCGAGGCTAAGTTCCATTGCTAGGGTGTTTAGAAAGCAAACGCCCTAGACACTGTACTGTAGGAATCAGTTCTGAGCTGGCACCACAGAGACCCAGAAGTGGTCTCATGAGGTTTTTCCATCACACAATTTGGTTGGCTCATCTATAAATACATGACATTTGCACATAAACACTAAGTTTTTCATAGCAAGCAAAGAACAACAAACCTTACCTGGGAAGTGCCAGACTGCCTCTTGTGCCACTGTCCTTGAGGAGGGGGCACGGGTACCAATCGGCTGCATACTGGAACCCACTGGGTTATACTAGTTTGGTTCTGGAGAAATAAAAAATCATCTGCTAAGAATCTATATCAGACTCTTTATCTAGAAGGCAAAGAGGGCACTGCTAGAACAATGTACATGACAGGAGAAATTCCCAAATGAAGCCAGGACCGAGGCTTCTGGTGCTCATCTCCCCAAGGAAAAGATGTACCCTTAACTATGCCCAGCCCCAACAACTGAGGGAATTCTGGAAATACTTCACTCAAGTAGGAGAACTCCTCTAAGGAAATAAAATAAGTAAACCTCTGGCATTTTATAATGATTATTTTTCAAATTATAGTTCTCAATACCCTTTTCTAAACACTAACTTTTCTGGAGACTTTATAGGCCCATAATGAGGAATGGCTATAAAAATTGTTTGAACTGTGGTACATACATACAATGGAGTACTACGCATCCCTAAAAAGCAGTGATGAACACATGAAGCACATTGCCGCCTGAGAAGAACTGGAGGAAATTATGCTGAGCGAAGTAAGTCAAGCAAAAAAGGAAAAGTACAACATGAGTCCACTGAGGTAAACTTAAAAAAAAAAATGCAATAGGGAATAGGGAAAAAGCTACTGTGTACAAACATTCCTGGGGTGAGGTCCAGGTAGTATGGCAGGAGCCAGACCAAATCCAGGGATACATATGGTGGGCAACTAAAAAGGAGGGGGAGAAAGGTGGGGGGAGACATGGGTAGTGGGGGGACGGGGTACTAACCCACCCAAGGGGAGGGTATTGTTTATATCTCCACAGGGAAAGAGGGACCAGACTTCAACCCAGGGATCCAAGATATGAATGCAACATGCCAGCATGAAGCAGGGAGCCAATAGAGAGGTCTGAGGGGCCGGCACCAATCCCAACTATGTGAACAGTCCCCCACCCCCCAGAAGAATTTACATCAGAGGACAGCACTGAAGCTACAGCTCAGGCAGAGGGACTTGTCTGATCAGAGCACATGGGAGCAAATGAAGGGGGAGAAAGAGAGAGTGGAGCACATCCTGGCACACCAAGCCTTGAGGATGATATCCCTGCTTAGAGCAGCCAATGCACAGAGAGGACCATTAGGACAGCCCCACTACGAGACACAACATCACTCACTGACCCATAGTCCTACCGGGGCACAATACTGGAGACACAGTGTGGAAATTGTGCCCGATCTGACCACACTATACCGAGGCAAAACACTAATGGCGTGCAACAGAACAGCGAGGGGAGCAGAGGAAGGAAGTCCTGAGGGAATACCAAAAACAGACCTTGGGACTAGGGCATGGCACCCCA